TTTTCTCTTTGCTTGTTTTTGCAATCACATTTTTTATCAGTTTAAAATAATGGGGTCTCCAGGGGGCAGTGGGTGAATATTTTAAAAAATGGGTTATAAGATGTTATTTGCGGCCGAGCGCGGTGGCTCAAGCCTGTAATCCCAGCATTTTGGGAGGCCGAGACGGGCGGATCATGAGGTCAGGAGATCGAGACCATTCTGGCTAACATGGTGAAACCCTGTCTCTACTAAAAAATACAAAAAAAAAAAAAACTAGCCGGGCGAGGTGGCGGGTGCCTGTAGTCCCAGCTACTCGGGAGGCTGAGGCAGGAGAATGGCATAAACCCGGGAGGCGGAGCTTGCAGTGAGCATCTCAAAAAAAAAAAAAAAAGATGTTATTTGCAAGCCCCATGGTAATTTCAAATCAAAAAACCTACAACAGATAGACAAAAAATATAAAGCAATACATCAAAACATACTACGAGAGAAAATCACTTTCACAAAAAGGAAGACAGGAAGGAAGGAAGGAAAAGACCTCAAAATAACCAGAAAGCAAATAACAAAGTGTCAGTAGTAAGTCCTTATTAATAATAACATTGAATATAAATGGACTAAACTCTCCAATCAAAAGACATAGGGTGGCTGAGTGGATGAAAAAAAAAAAACAAAAAAAACATGATCTGTTTCCTACAAGAAACACACTTCATCTATAAAGACACATATAGACTAAAAGGGATAAAAAATTATATTCTATACAAATAGAAACCCAAAAGAGCGGGAGTAGCTATACTTCAGACAAAACGGATTTCAAGACAAAAGTTATAAAAAGAGGCCAAGTATGTCATATAATGATAAGGGGGTCAATTCAGCAAGTGTATATAACAATTATATGTGCACTGAACACTGGAGCACCCAGATATACAAAGCAAGTATTATTAGAGCTAAAGAGAGAGAGATAGACCCCAATACAGTAATAATTGGAGATTTCAGCACCCCACTTTCAGCATTGGACAGATTATCCAGATCAACAATGAAACACTGTACCTAATCTGCACTATAGAGCAAATGGACCTCATAGATATTTACAGAACATTTCATCCAATGAATGCAGGATATACATTCTTCTCCTCAGCATATTGATCATTCTGGCAAGGCTGTGGAGAAAGAGGGACCCTCATACACTGTTGGTGAGAACATAAATTATGTTCCACTATGAAAGTTCCTCAAAAAACTAAACATAGAACTACCATGTGATGCAGCAATCCACCTGCTGTGTATACATCCAAAAGAAAGGAAATCAGTATGTCGAAGAGATATCTGGTGTCCCATGTTTATTGCAGCACTGTTCACAATAGCCCAGATTTGGAAGCAACCTAAGTGTCCATCAACAGATGAATGGATGAAGAAAATGTGGTACTTATACACAATGGAGTACTATTCAGCCATAAAAAAGAATAAAATATTGTCATTTGCAGCAACACGGACAGAACAAGTACATGATAAGCCAGGCACAGAAAGATAAGTTTCATATGTTCTCACTCATTTGTGGAAGCCCTAGAGTAAAATAATTGAACTCATGGAGATAAAGAGAAGAACACAGCCAGGTGTGGTGGTTCATGCCTATAATCCTAGCACTTCAGGAGGCCAAAGCAGGCAGATCACCTGAGATCAGGAGTTCCAGACCAGCCTGGCCAACATGGTGAGACCTCGTCTCTAATAAAAATACAAAAATAAGCCAGGTGTGGTGGCACATGCCTGTAACCCTGGCTACTCGGGAGGCTGAGGTAGGAGAATTGCTTGAACTCAGGAGGTGGAGGTTGCAGTGAGCTGAGATTGTGCCACTGCACTCCAGTCTGAGCAATAGAGCGAGACTCTGTCTCAAAAAAAAAAAAAAAAAAAAAAAAAAAGAGAGAGAGAGTAGGATAGTTACTAGAGGGTGGAAAGGGTAGTGAGGGGAGGGAATGGGACGGTTAATGGGTACAAAAATATAGTTAAGATCTAGTATTTGATAGCACAACAGAGTGACTATAGTCAGCAATAATTTGTTGTACATTTAGAATAACTGAGGGAGTACAACTGGAATGTTTGTAACACAAATAAATGGTGAATGCTTGAGGTGATGGATATCCCATTTACCCTGATTTGATTATTACACATTGTATGCCTATATCAACGTATCTCACATATCTCATAAATATATACACCTACAATGTACCCATACAAATTTAACAAATTTTAAAAAATGTCTTGTGTGCCAAAATATTTTATAGCTGGTGTCTTCAAGTGTTCACAGTATTACTTGCAGACCAGCATTTCCTTCCTAGGCAATTATCTGTTCTTGGCAATCAGCTTAAAAACATTCGCAGCAGCTGGGCGCGGTGGTTTAAGCCTGTAATCCCGCCACTTTGGGAGGCCGAGGCGGGTGGATCACCTGAGGTCAGGAGTTTGAGACCAGCCTGACCAACAGGGTGAGACCCTGTCTCTACTCAATACAAAAAGTTAGCTGGGCGTGGTGGCACATGCCTGTAATCCCAGCTACTTGGAGGCTGAGGCAGGAGAATCGTTTGAATCCAGGAGGCTGAGGTTGCAGTGAGCTGAGATTGCTCCATTGCACTCCAGCCTGGGCAACAAGAGTGAAACTCTGTCTCAAAAAACAAACAACAACAACAACAACAAAACATTTGCAGGGAAAAGGGAGGTAAATTATTCAATTTTGGGCACAGAGTAACCTACTAGATTGATTCTGATGGTCCTGCATAGACAGAGGTGGCCTGAGACATTCTTCAGAATGTGATATCAGTGCCCATTAAAAAATTATCTGTGAAGGTAGTCACAACCTTTTATGAATAATCCCCCAGGTATTCACTGAGAACAAGGCAAGTTATGCAGTAACAAAATAGATTTTAGGCAGTGTCCTCTAGGAATTAAAATGGGAAACAGACAGTATTCTCACAGGCAAAATAGCATACCGGTAATTGCAGGTGAGTGCTTCCAAAAGCTGGCTGGCCATCAGAAACCCCTGAGGAGTTCTTAAAATATGGATTCCTAGGGCCCACCCAGACAAAAGGGAATCCAGGGATGAGGTTGAGTTGGGGCTCTAGAAAATTATCCCCACTTTTTTCAATAATCTTGTGATTTTTGCTGGCTCCTGGATTTTTCCTGCTGCTATTTACCTTCTTAAACATTTCTGCCTATCAGAGAATTGGGAGAAGCAAGGAGTTAAGTTTGTTTCCTACAAGGGGGGATACAAAGCTGAACCCATTGGCTAAAATGTGAGGCTTGGAGCTGCTAATGGGACAGAGGAAGTTGTTACAGAAAATGGCAACATGTCATCGGGCACAGTGGCTCACACCTATAATTCCAGCACTTCGGGAGGCTGAGGCAGGAGGATTGCTTGAGGCCAGGAGTTCCAGACCAGCCTGGCCAACATGGTGAAACCCCATCTCTACTAAAATCCAAAAAAAAATTAGCCAGGTGTGGTGGTGCATACCTGTAATCCCAGCTACTCGGGAGGTTGAGGCATGTGAATCGCTTGAACCTGGGAGGCGGAGGTTGCAGTGAACTGAGATTGCACCACTGCGCTCCAGCCTGGGCGACAGAGTGAGACTCCGTCTCGGAGAAAAAAAAAAAAAAACAAAGAAAATGGCAACATGTTGTCTTAGGTGAATGGTGGAAGGGGGGAGAACATCCATTCCATGAATATTTATTGAATACCTACCTGAAAATGCTAAAAGACCACAGGCTAAAGATACAGATAGGAAAAAATCCATTATTTCTCTCAAGAGGCTCACAATTTAGGGGATGGACTTACAATTGCCTGGTGATGTAATAAGTGCATGCCAGAGCGATGCATGGAAGAGTGGGAGCTGAGGCAGGAGGGCACTGATAGGGAAGGCTTTCCTGAGGTCAAGCTGGGCTGTGACTTGAGGCTTTTGATTTAGCAGGTAGATAATGGCAGAGGTAAAATGCTAGGTAGTGGGATAACATGTACAGAACTAGAAAAGGGGGATGGCAAGTCATTTGTTGTGGCTGTATCAGAGGGCATGTGCAGAGAGCATGGGAAATGAAGTTGGAGGAGGACTCAGGGACCAACTCATAGAAGGCTTTGTGTGCTGCTAAGAAACTTGAGTTTTATCTTGAAGATAATGGCATTGAACAGTTTTGAGCAGGGAAGTGCCATGATCAGACTTTTGTATTAAGTCCTTCTGGTAGCTATGTGGATTGAATACTGGGAGAACAACTGGAGATGACAAGATCAGCCAGAAGGCTCCTGCTGTAGTTCAAGGAAATTGATGAGCACTTCAGGTAGGTCAGTGGCAGAGGAGTCAGGTTGGCCTTTTTTGGCATCAGGGATGCCAGGTTAGATAAAACTCAACCACGTCATCATACTACTTCATTTATTCAGTAAACATGGATGGAGGGCATCCTGTGACAGACAGTGCTGGCTTCTTTGATTGGTCCTTAATAAGTAGTATAGTACCTTTCTGAAATTCTGTGTAACTGCTTCTTGAAATGTCAAGATACTGAACTAGAGACCTGGTATTAAACTTGCACATATCGGAACTGACAACATTTCTCAAGCTCCAACTCTCTATATTAGCTGTCACAGAATTTCATGTTATTAAACTTCTTTATCATCCCACACTTGTCTCTCTTATCTAGACCAAATTCCACTTTAATTGAGCCCTGAAACTAGACATCATTTCAAACATGCTATCCTTCATAATTAACTGCAATGATTTACATAGTTTGAACTTATGCATACTGACCCTATGAAAGGACTTTCAATTAGGATAGCTTGTAAAGGGAGCAGGTGACAGACATTACATAAACAGGCTGTTTATGTAATGTGGGGAAGGGAGGGAGGGAGGGAGAGAGACTGTGTGTTGGAAGGTGTTTATGCGCAAATAAAAAAGGGAAACTGAGGGCCATGAAGTAATGCTAGGAAGGAATGATTATTTCACTGGATTCTGGGGTCCATGGGAGACCCACACCAGTATCTAATGCTCTCAGTTCCTTACATTGTTGGAATGCCTCTACAAGAACAGTTTTGTCTGAGTTGTTCAAGCCAATGATAGGGATGGTCACATTCCTAGAAATGAAAAAGAAAAATGAGCCAAAGTCTTAAAAGAGTTAGGTTTTAGGCTAAACAGAGTTATACTCTTCCTTAGTGTTTGGGATTCTGCCTGCAGTAATCTCAATGCATGTACCATAAAAGGCCCAGCCAAAGCAGTAGAAGGTGGTATGGGAGTCCCTCACCAAAGCCCCCAAGGATGCTTTTCTTCCCTGATTCGCTTAACCTTGTACAATTGGCCATCCCTCCTCAACCCTGCTCCCAATCTTACAAACAACTGCTTAATCACTTCAACTAACAATATATATTATGAAGATTTGTACCTTGAGGGACTATGGGCAGATTTGTGGGAGGAAATAGTGGAATAGGCCTAGGGAAATAATTGTAATATTACCTTCGTGTCTCTTCTGTTGTCTTTAGCCAAGAGCAGCAGGAGGTCAAAAGCCGGAACATGATTCATCTTAGTTCTTAAATATTAAGAGAAGAAAGAAAATAAGAAATAAGTTCCATTATAAACACTGAGCCTTTAGTCAGCTTATGACTAAACAGGTGCTGATAAACAGAAAGCCTGGGATTGTTAGAAGTCTATTACTTTATTCTATCCAACTGTGTCTATAAATGTCATAGAAGGAGGGACTGGTTATTCTCAACTGCAGTGACAAGTTCTGTGCTAATGAGTAGCTTTCTTCAAAATGGGGTGATTTCTTAGTATAGCAGCCTACACAGACATAATCAGATGTGGCCTATCCCTTCAGCCATCGTTCATCCTTGTTAAGAATATCTTTATTCAACCTTGTGGAGGTTGGGATGATGCCTAAGAGAAGAACCAACTTAGGCTTCCAGAAGGAACTATTGGGAGACCTGTTCCAAGTACCAATAATGTCTCTTCTTCAAAGATGTGGGCATTGGTGACCCACTATTAGAGATTTTTTTTACAATTTTTGGAGCTATCAGGGACCTTAGAGATAATCTATTCTAATGGATTTCAAACATTAATCCAGGTGTCCCATCCTCAAAGATTGCCAGGGAGCTGCATAAGCATCCCAGGTGATGTCAATGCACAGCTGGATTTAGAAGTGAATGCCTAAGTAAAAAGGATAATTTAGGCAATCACTTCAAGGTTCATCCATGGAAAGCGGATTGTTTCCACTTTTTGGCTCTTATGAATAATGCTGCTATAAACATTTGTATATAAGGTTTTGTATGGATATGTTTTCTCTTGGGTATATACCTAGGAATATTACTGCTGGGTTATGTAATAAATCTATATTTAACCTCTTGAGGAACTGCCAGACTGTTTTGCAAAATGGCTACAACATCTTACATTCCCACCACTAATGCTTGTTTTTGTTTACAGCTATCCTAGTGGGTGTGAGGTAGGTTTTTATTTATATTTCCCTAGTGACTAATTACAGTTGACAGTTGAACAACATGGGTTTGAACTGCATGGGTCTACTTATACCAGGCTTTTTTTTTTTTTTCAACCGAATGAGGATATTTGTGAATGTGAAACCATGTATATGCAGGGCTAACTTTTCATATATATGGGTTTCATAGTGCCAACTGCAGGATTTGAGAATGCACAGATTTTGGTATATGAGGGGGTCCAGGAGCCCATTTCCCCCAAGTTTACTGAGAGACAACTATATGTTGAAGCCCAGAATTGGAGGAAGCCCTGGCTGGGTTAGCAAAGTACTTCAATTGATGCTTAGATGGGCCTTGCTTAGCTATCTGATGAGCACAGTTTATGTGCTAGCTTATTAAGGGATAATTTATCAGGGTTCTGCAGAGTCATCCAGTCATTTACTGGTCTGGAGAGTTGCCATTCCAAAATACTCACATTTCATAGCATTTCTTATAGCACAGCTCACGCCCTAGGAGATCATTAGGTTTCCCATAAAGACGTCCTGGATAATGGCTCTGGCTTATGCCAGACAAAAGAGAAACCTTATATATGGCCTGTGATCAAAACCAGCCTTACTCCAGTTTTGCACATGAAGCTGATATGACCAGGAGCCTGAAACATCAGAGCCTAATTGTCTGGGTTCCATGATAGCCATCTCCCTTGGAGAAGAGGCCAGTAACTGCTTCATGTCTGTTTCCTAATAATTGGCAGAGCCTTCTAACTTGATGTCAGGCTCTCTGTGTTTGTCAGTGCCACCAAGAAGTGTCAAATTGGCATCACACAAGTTCTTCCTTTATAAGGAAGGGTAGGTAGGATAACCCAACTGGGAAAATGATTGAATTAGGGATGACTGGTCTGATCCTTTATTTCTAGTGCCTCTTCTGGGTAACCTGAAGTGAAATCATCTCAACTAAACCTATCATTTCCAAATTTCTTTTCTTATCTGTAAAATGAAGATAGTGACATATTTTGCTTACCATGAGGTGGTTATTTATCTGATAAGTTGATTCTTTTTGGATGGAAGACATAAGATATGCAGAGTAATAGGAAGATGCATTGAGCTTTCTAGCCTTCTTGTCAGATTAACACAGCTCAGGTTGTCCACTTATAAAAGCTATGGCAATGTCCTAATAATGGTTGTCAAGGTACTGACATGTCTATGGCAACAACTACCTGGTTCATAGCAACCAAACTTATATCTCCTTACCTTGTATGATTTTAGATAATTACTAAAGGAACTTTTAGTCATCATAGTTTTTATTCATTTTACAAAATATTTATATAGAATTTACTGTGTGCCAGGGCTCATTAAAGCACTTTATACACATTAATTCATTTAATCCTTACTGCAACATGACAAAGTAGGGGCTATCATTCCTACTTTTCGGAGATGAAGTTGTTCACAAAGGGGCTACATAACTTGCCAAAGGTTACCTAGCTAATAAATGGTAAAGCCAGAATTCAAACCTAGGCATTCTGGCTTCAGAGTGGTATTAGGTCAAAGGTCTTGCAGACCTCAGGTACCAGAGAAACTGCCTCTGCTCTGGGTATCTCTTCTAGCCAAACTGTATCATACTTAGTGAACTTTTTATAAAACACTTTATTTTGGGCACAGCTGGCTTGAGCACCTGGAAACAAGATGCAGGACCCCAACGCAGACACTGAGTGGAATGACATCTTACGCAAAAAGGGTATCTTACCCCCCAAGAAAAGTCTGAAAGAACTGGAAGAGGAGTCAGATGAGGAGCAGCACATCCTCCAGCAGTCAGTGGTGAAAACATATGAAGATATGACTTTGGAAGAGCTGGAGGATCATGAAGATGAGTTTAATGAGGAGGATGAACGTGCTATTGAAATGTACAGATGGCAGAGACTGGCTGAGTGGAAAGCAACTAAACTGAAGAATAAATTTGGGGAAGTTTTAGAGATCTCAGGGAAGGATTATGTTCAAGAAGTTACCAAAGCTGGCGAGGGCATGTGGGTCGTCTTGCACCTTTACAAACAAGGAATTCCCCTGTGTGCCCTAATAAATCAGCACCTCAGTGGACTTGCCAGGAAGTTTCCTGATGTCAAATTTATCAAAGCCATTTCAACAACCTGCATACCCAATTATCCGGATAGGAATCTGCCCACGATATTTGTTTACCTGGAAGGAGATATCAAGGCTCAGTTTATTGGTCCTCTGGTGTTTGGCGGCATGAACCTGACAAGATATGAATTGGAATGGAAACTGTCTGAATCTGGAGCAATTATGACGGACCTGGAGGAAAACCCCAGGAAGCCGATTGAAGATGTGTTGCTGTCCTCAGTGCGGCGCTCTGTCTTCATGAGGAGGGGCAGCAGTTCCGAGGGTGACTGAGGCTACAGCTGCTATCAACATGCCGAACTTTCTTGTGACAAATTGTCTGAATTTTTTAAAAAAGGAAAAAGCAAGAATGAATCCTTCTGTTTTTTAGTTTTGTATAAATTATGTTTCAAATCTTTACATTTTAGAAATAATCATTGCTGGATTGCTGTTAAATCATTGCTGTTAAATATTTTGGAGCTCTTTTTTTTTAATTAGAGTATTTCCTCTAAAAAAATTAAAACAAGCCATTTGTATGGCAAATGTCTGTTTTCCTCATTTATATTTTAAGCCATAAAACCTAGTCACTATTTTTTGACATATAACTATAAAAAATATAGTTTTAAATGTGAATAAATTATGCAGTGGAAAATTGCAAACTAAGCCTTATAGATACATTGTTTATTTTTATTTTATAAAGAGAGCAATGAGATTATTAACTCAGAATACAGGAATGCTCTCTAGGACAAAAGAATCTTAGTATTTATTGAAGAAACAGACAATTTTTGTGAAACATTCCTGTATCGAAGCAATAACTGAAAAGTTCCAGTTTACTGCCATATTTGGTTAAATGTGTTTCCTTGCTAAAATAGTTCATCTCAGACTGTTAACTAATTTTTTTTTGAGATAGAGCTTTGCTGTGTTGCTGAGGCTGGAGTGCAGTGGCACAATCTCAGCTCACTGCAACCTGCGCCTCCTGGATTCAAGCAATTTTCCTGCCTCAGCCTACTGAGGAGCTGGGATTACAGACGTGCACCACCATGCCTGGCTGATTTTGTACTTTCAGTAGAGTTTCATCATGTTGGCCGGGCTGTTCTCAAACTCCTAACGCCAAACTCGGCTTCCCAAAGTGTTGGGATTACAGGTGTGAACCACCGTGCCTGCCCTGTTAACTAATTTTGATTTGTAAAAGGACATTGAATTAATTTTTGGAAATATATAAGCATACACAAATAAACTGTATCTCAATCAAACAAACAAACAAAAAAAACCACTTTATTTTTCAGAATGGTTTTAGGCATACAGAAAAATTGCTAAGACAGTACAGTGAGTAACCATCCCCAACACCCAGTTTCCCTCATTGTTAACATCTTATGATACTGCATTTGTTATAATTAATGAGCCAGTATTAATACATTGTTATTGACTAAAGTCCATACTTTATTCAGATTGCCTTAGTTTTTAACTTAAGCTTCTCAGATTTTGTTTTGTTTTGTTTTTTAGAGACAAGGTCTGGCTCTGTGGCCCAGGCTAGAGTGCAATAGTGTGATCATAGCTAACTGCAGCCTCAAACTCCTGGACTCAAGCAATCCTCCTGCTTCAGCTGCCCAAGTACCTAGGACTGCAGGCGTACACCACCATGCTTGGCTAATTTATTTTTTGTTCTTTTTAGAGAAGGGTCTTGCTGTATTGCCCAGGCTGGTCTCAAACTCCTGGCCTCAAGTGATCCTCCCACCGTGGCCTCCCAAGGGGGTGGAATTATAGGCATGAGATACCACATCCAGCCACTGTATTTGTCTTTGATGACCTTGACAGGAGTGTTCATCAGGTGTTTTGTAGAATACCCCTAACTTAGTGTTTATCTGATGTTTTTCTCATGATTAGACTGAAGTTACGCGTTCTTGGGAGGAAGGTCACAGAGGTAACATGCCATCCTCATCACATCATATCAAGGATACATGCTGTCAACATGACTTATCACTGATGATGTTAACCTTGATTACCTGGCCGAGGCAGTGTTTGTCGGATTTCTCCACTATAAAGATACTCCCCCTACTTTCTATCCTGTACTCTTTAGAAGGAAATCAGTATGCATTAGCCACACTTATAGAATGGGGATTTATCCTCCACCTCCTTGAGGTGGAGTATCTACAAAAGTTGCTTGGAATTCTTCTGTATGGGGGAGGGGGTCTGTCTATTCTTATGCATTTGTTTATTAAATCATTTGTTTATACAGTATGGGCTCACATATATTTATTTTATACTCTGATTATAATCCATACCACTTTATTTTCTTGTTCAAATTGTTCCAACTTTGGCCTGGGGAGCTCTTTCAGTTGATTCCTCCCTCTGACATACTTTCATCATTGTAGGTTTTTTAACATTTTTATTATTTTTTTTGAGACGGAGTCTTGCTCTGTCGCCCAGGCTGGAGTGCAGTGGCGCGATCTCAGACCACTGCAACCTCCGCCTCCCGGGTTCAGGTAATTCTACTGTCTCAGCCTCCCGAGTAGCTGGGACTACAGGCACACACCACCATGCCTGGCTAATTATTGTATTTTTAGTAGAGATAGGGTTTCACCGTGATGGCCAGGCTGGTCTCGAACTCCTGACCTCAGGTGATCCACCCGCCTTGGCCTCCCAAAGTGCTCAGATTACAGGTGTTAGCCACCGCACCCAACCCACATACTTACTCTTAATTCTAAATTTTGAATTGGATCACAGACCAGGCCTTCAGCTAGGATGACTTATGTACCTATTTGACCAGAACAGACTTGATGTGTGTTTTCCCCCAAGCCCATGGCCAAACTTGTATCCTAAACTGTTTTCTTTCTTGCTTGCTTTTTTTTTTTTAAGATCAAGTTTTGCTCTTGTCACCCAGGCTGAAGTGCAACGGTGCGATCTCGGCTCGCTGCAACCTCTGCCTCCCAGGTTCAAGCGATTCTCCTGCTTCAGCCTTCTGAGTAGCTGGGATTACAGGCATGTGCCACCACGCCTGGCTAATTTTTTTTTTTTTTTTGTATTTTTAGTAGAAATGGGGTTTCGCCATGTTGACCAGGCTGATCTTGAACTCCTGACCTCAGGTGATCTGCTCCCCCCTTGGCCTCCCGAAGTACTGAGATTACAGGCGTGAGCCACTGCGCCCGGCCTCCTGGCCTGTTTTCTTATGGTGTCTGGGCTAAGAATGGTTTTTACATTCTTAAAACGTTAAAAAGAAAAAGAATATATGACAGAGACTGTTTGTGGCCTCTAAAACCTAAAATATTTACTATCTGGCCATTTTTAGGAAAAATTTGTCAACTTCCATCCCAGAATCATTACTAATAGTGCCTCCTTTCATTCACAAAAGTGTCCAGGCTTGGATGATATTCTGTATGAACACTTATCTTTATCTGAATGAGGCACTTTACAGCCCTTTGAAAGTTCTCAGCCGAAGGCTTTTCTAAATATGTAGATTGATTTTTGGCCAACTGGAGGTTGCATTTTCCCCTTCTTTTCTCCATACTTGCCATCCAAGGGGAGCTGTCTATAGCTGAGATCTTGTGCTAACCCTCAAGGGAAGTAACCCACTTGATACCACTGTTTTTCCATCATGCCCGGAAATGTGTTAGGTAGAGAAATAATTTACTGTACCTTTCTCCCATCGTGATTTAGTTGTTTTCTTATTTTATAGATGACTGTGAATTCATGTTATTTTCTTTGGTACTTGCTTAGAAGTATGGAGGAAAAGTTTTGACTGAAGAAGGTGAATGGAAATGTGACTGAGACAGGAAACATGACTGAGACAAGCTGAATTCTGATTAGACCTTGTATTAGGCCATTCTCACACTGCTATAAAGGAATACCTGAGACCTGAAAAGAGTTTTAATTGGCTGTCAGTTCTAGTGGCTGTACAGGAAGCATGGCAACAACATCTGCCCAGCTTTTGGGGAGGCCTCAGGGAGCTTTTACTCGTGGCAGAAGATGAAGCTGGAGCAGGCACATCACATGGTGAAAGCAAGAGCAAGAGAGTTGGGGGGAGGTGCCACACAATTTTAAACAACCAGATCTTAGGAGAATTCACTCACTATCATGAGGACAAACCATGAGGGATCCACCCCCATGACCCAGACGCCTCCCACCAGGCCCACCTCCAACATTAGGGATTACATTTCTTTTTTTTTTCTTTCTTTCTTTTTTTTTTTTGAGAAGGAGCTTCACTCTTGTCACCCAGGCTGGAATGCAGTGGCGTAATCTTAGCTCACTGAAACCTCCACCTCCTGGGTTCAAGCAATTCTCCCTCCTCAGCCTCCCAAGTAGCTGGGATTACAGGCACCCACCACCATGCCCAGCTAATTTTTGTATTTTTAGTAGAGACGGGGTTTCACCATGTTGGCCAGGCTGGTCTCAAACTCCTGACCTTAGGTGATCCACCCGCCTTGGCCTCCTAAAGTGCTGGGATTACAGGCATGAGCCACCGCGCCCAGCCAGGGATTACATTTCAACATGAGATTTGAGGGTATGAATATCCAAACCATATAATTCTGCCCTGCGCCCTCAATTCTTACGTTCTTCTCCCATTTCAAAATACAGCCATTCCTACTCAGTATTCCTGCAAAGTCTTAACTCATCCCAGTATTAACTCAAAAGTCTCAATTTCAAGTCCAAAGCCTCATCTGGAGATAAGTTTCTTCCACCAATGAGCCTATAAAATTAAAACCAGTTATTTACTTCCAAGATACAGTGGAGGTACAGGCATTGGCTAAACATTCCTGTTCCAAAAGGAAGAAATCAGCCAAAAGAAAGGGGCTACAGGCCCTAAGCAAGTCCAAAACCCAGCAGGGTAGTCATTAAATATTAAAGCTCCAAAATAGTCTCCTTTGACTCCATGGCCCACATCCAGGGCACACTGGTATGAAGAGTGGGCTCCCAAGGCCTTGGGCAATCCATACCCATGGACAGCCTCTGTGGCTGCTCTCACAGGTTGAAGTTGAGTACCTGTAGCTTTTCCAGGCTCAGGGTCCAAGTTGCTGATGGATCTACCATGCCAGGATCTGGAGGATGGTGACCACCTTCCCAAAGCTCCACTAGGCAGTACCCCACTGGGGACTCTGTATGGGCCCTCCCACCCCACATTTCCGCTCTGCACTGCCCTAGTACAGGTTGTCTGAGGGCTCTACCCCTGCAGCAGGCTTCTACTTAGGCACCCAGGCTTTCTCATATATCTTCTGAAATCTCTTGCATTCTATATGCCCACAGGCTTAACACCATATGGAAGCCACCAAGGCTTATGGCTTGCACCTTCCAGAGTGGTGGCTCACACTGTATCTGGGGCCCTTTGAGTCAAGGCTGGAGCTGGAGCAGCCTGGATGCAGGGAGCAGTGTCCCGAGACTGTGCAGGGCAGCAGGGTCCTGGGTTGGCCCAGGGAACCATTATTTTCTCTTAGGCCTCTGGGCCTGTGATGGGAAGGGCTGCCTCAAATATTTCTGAAATGCCTTCAAAGTCTTTTTCCCGTTGTCTTGGCTATCAGTACCTGGCTCATTTTTAGTCATGCAGAGCTCTGTAACAAGTGGTTGCTCTGCCACCTGCTTGGATCCTTCCTCAGAAAAAGCTTTTTCTTTCTTTGCAGGTGGCCAGGCTGCAAATTTTCCAAATGTTTACACTCTGCTTCCCTTTTAA